GCAATTATGCCACCCCAATATACGTTCAGTACAGTCAATTCCTTCGAGCGCGGCAAGTATGCCACCCCAATATACGTTCAGTACAGTCATTTCCTTCGAGCGGGGCAATTATGCCACCCCAATATACGTTCAGTACAGTCATTTCCTTCGAGCGGGGCAATTATGCCACCCCAATATACGTTCAGTACAGTCATTTCCTTCGAGCGGGGCAATTATGCCACCCCAATATACGTTTACTACAGTCAATTCCTTCGAGCGGGGCAAGTATGCCACCCCAATATACGTTCAGTATAGTCATTTCCTTCGAGCGGGGCAATTATGCCACCCCAATATACGTTTACTACAGTCAATTCCTTCGAGCGGGGCAAGTATGCCACCCCAATATACGTTCAGTACAGTCAATTCCTTCGAGCGCGGCAAGTATGCCACCCCAATATACGTTCAGTACAGTCAACTCCTTAGAGTGGGGCAAGTATGCCACCAAATACACGTTCGGTACAGACAATTTCTTGGTCGGGGAAACTATGCCGATCGAGAGACATCGAGTGAGTCGGCAAGAGCCCATTCCACTGATAATGGAGTCAATTCCATCCGAAGGCAGATATTCAAATCCAGGGCCGATGTTCTCGGTCGCTGGAGCCATCGCGGCTACTATGTTTAGACTGGTCACTTTGGACTGGCACGATGGAATAAGAAACATAACAGTACATTAGCAACAGCGAAATCGGTTCAGCTAAGGCATAGCATGAGGAGGCACAGTCGCCTCACCTAGAGTCCTGATCTGACCAAGGATAGATCAGCCTTGGAGAAGTGTGATTGATCTACCCCACATTTATGTAAGTCTAGAGACTATTCGGATGGAACCACATCACTGTCCCATAGCATGACAATTCTACGCAGGCAAAGAATTTCGCCGAACCACTACTTGATTTTAACACAGATCTGGCGACGAGACACAAGCGAATCTAAAAGTCAATTCCCTCCCATTTTACCGAAAGATATATATACCATGAAGACTTCGGTGCAAGGTAAAGAGGTATGACGGTAATCCCTGCTGGTATTATAGTCAGCAATGAGAACAGCAACTTATATCGTGGAACTGTTGGTAAAGCTGGTGGGAACGTCATCAGTGATGAATTCAATTAAGAAACTCGAAACTGCCCACAGACAGATAGTACGCTTGCGAAGTCGTGGAGCTCTCACGTTCCCCATGTTTCAGCAGCTGGTCAGTTCAATCGACGTTGACTCGTGTACCCCAGGGTAAGCTGTACCCGAGAGCATTCAACCACGCCAAATGAGATAATGAATGTTCGTGGGAATGCTTAACTCCAGCGGCGGCCTAGCTCAACAAGAGACCACTCTCAGCCACTTCGAGCGTTTATAAGCGACACAACAGGAGCATGTAGAGGAAGGAAACAGCAGAGATAATTCTAACACTTGCTCGGCTGATAGACGAGCACTATCAATCTTTGTGATGGACTAAACGGGTGGGAAGAAAAAACGCTCAAAAACTCTTTAGCTAATAGGAGCACTCTGTACCTGCCTTGATAATGATAGCGGGTTTTTACGTCGCTGATAATACAATGGAAACCAAAGGAGATTCAGAATGAGAGGGACACAGACTGTGTCATACAGTGCTTTTGGTGGATAGCCACCTCAATCGGCTGCCAATTACATAACAGTCGTTGTTACTAGATACCTATTGGCTTAGCTTATATTTCCAGACAATTGTCAGGACCAAGAAAAATGGAAGTAAGATATAGATGAACGTCTCTACCACTATTGCTGTGGTGACCACGAAGTGGCCTGACTATTCTAGAATAGTCCTTTATAAACTCTTATAAACTCATAGTATCAGTGCTGTACGATGGTCTCATATTTCAGAGGACTGCTCTCGCGACACATCTGCACAAAACACCGAATCAATGAACTGCTACGGCTGGGGTCGAAGGAATTTCCCTAGCAACACCCTGCGAGACATCGAGAAATACCCTCTGTCTCCTGGCTTCATGAACGCCAAGCCCAGGCACATCGTCAGTGGAGTCGGCTGTGGAAAGAGAGATGTCGGAAGAATCAACAGACTCCGTGACCATCTCTACTGGGGGCTGTTGACCTATTAGGCGATTCTCAACACTGGTCCACATCCCTGCAAAAACCGTTACAGCATACACCAAGTAGTAGATTCGGAAACCACCAGAGGAAATGATTTCTGCAGCGCCTTCCGAACCGGCCAAGCAATCCTCAACGAGTCGGTTCTTAGCGTTCAGGAATGTATCCAAGCACATCTGAGCAGCCACATTAACGTCATCCTTGAATGGGGGGATATTCTTCTCCTCGTTAATAGCTATAAACAACCGTTCCGAAGACGATTGCAGGGATAAACCAAAGTCCCTGAGAGAAGGTAAGATGCAGTCTAGCATCTTTGCCGCCGGACCAGTAACAGACAGAGATGACGCAATCAGGGCATTGTGCAATACCAGAGCTTCATTGACTAGTTTGCCTATGTCGGCGCGTCTTCTCAGAACCCTCTTAGTGGTAGGAGACAACAATTTCAGTGAACCCAACATCGCGATTTCAGCACTAGCATCTTCTCTATACTTCACTTGAGTACTCAGCGACTTGAAAACAGCGTGACTGAAGTCATCTCGAGGGTCGTGTAGAGGGGTACCTCTGAGCTCCGAACGAGCCCGTACCAGCTGCAAGACAGCTTCCTCAACACCGTTACTGCACTCCTTGACTGTGTGAGCCGCCGCCTGCTTGTAATGGACAGCAGCAAATTCCGGGAAGAAAACCGCAGAGAAGATCGTAACATATATACCGCCAGCAGCAGTAAGACCAGCCCTCCAGGCTGCGGCAATCATCATCTGGTCCGGCGGCAGTGTCGTGCCTATTGCCAATCCCATACAGACGACAAACCAAGTGAGTATAAATACAGTGCCAGCATATCCAATACCACCGTAAGAGCTGGCGGATTTGCCAATGAACACAACGATCATCATCTCGACAAAGATTGCCGCCGAATCATGTGGGTTAGCACTGAGACAGATTACGCTGACAGCCGCACCAGCCAGGGTACCGATAGTCCTTCGACCGCCCCTCAGTAAGGATGCTCCACAAGTTGGCAAAAAGCAGAGATAGACAGGGAGGATACCCCATAGGCCGTGTTGACGGACGCCCTCGCTGTAGTGTTGACCAACAACGAGGACGACTTCACCAATCACGACGGCGAGGGTGAACCGGGCTGCATAAATCAACGTAGGCCGAGCACCACCACCCTCATTAAGGCCTCTGAAAAAAGGCTCCGCCCACCAAGCCTTCCACCATGCCGCAAAGCCAGCAAAGGGGTGACAAGAGTATCTCTCAGCCTAAAAGAGCGAAGAACGTCTCTACAATATCGGAGCTACTCTGAGCTTACCTGCTCACTATTTTTTGCGCGTAGCTGCAGACTAGCGTCTCTGTAATCTTGAGCTCTACAAGCGAAGTAGAACGCCGAACCCAAAGCGGACTGGAACCGCATGAACTCGTTGTCGTCCGGAGGCTCAATATCACCACTCGTCACTAAGCTTGCAGCGCTACGATTGACCTTCAAAAGATGGGCTTCGAATACTCTGGCCCGGTCCCGTAGATTGATAGCGTCCGCTCTTTCCCTTAATGTCGGCTCCGTTTCATAGATGGAGCGCAAGACGAGACCCACGCTGCTCCTCAATTCCAACAAATCAGCTGCCATTGGTTGCCAGTAGTTCTCTAGAATGAGATCAGAGAACTTGCCAGACTTCAAGTTCTGTCTGAGCGAAAATAAGTCCGCTACCATCTCCCACGCTGGCGTGTTGACATCAGCAGTTACAGGATGAGACGCAATACTGACACATGCGCGAAGGAAGTCATCATAGGCCGAGCGCAGCAGCTCGGTATGCTCATCACCAGATACTATGTATGACGTCAATATGTCATAGAGATTGGCTGCTGAGTAGCTGAACCGTTGGAAAGGTGGGGGACTGTCGGCAGGGAGGAGGTGTGCGAGATGAAGTAGCTGAAGAATAATGAACGATGTGAGGGTACCAAAGGTTTGGAATACCGCAAAGGCAGTTCCCTCCTTGTAACCGTTGTTGACAAACCATAGTACAGCCACACCAGAGGAGACTAGCGATGTTTGACCCATAATAAGCTCACTCATCTTGCATCCACCATTCGACTGGGACATGCAGAAGAAGAAAGTGATAGGGAGGAAGAACAAAACAGCCCATAGGCGATAGTAGATGCCACCACCCATTGCCTGTACAATGAAGTGCGCCAGACAGCCAAACCCAGAACCCAACCATCGACCGATAATACTGGTCCTCGCAAAGGCATTAATAGATGGCCAGTTGAACTTGACCGCGAAGTTGGAGAAAACCGGACCAATGATCTGCAAAAGAAACAACTAGTGGTAATTCGATTCATACGACTATTCTCATTGCCTACTACGAATCATTCTGTCAAGAAGCTAAGTGGGTAGGAAGGCAGCCCTGTATTACTGATAGATAGGCCCACCACGCTGTCTTTGGTGCCAAGTAAAGGGGTATTGCAGTGATGCCTGCTGATATTATAGTCGCCAGTGAAAAAACAAACTTATACCACGGAACTGACGGCAGAGTTGGGGCGGATGTCATCAGAAAACGACAAGTTAAAAATACAAGCTAGAGGAAATCTAGGCAGTGACACAAAATATAGAAATCACCATAGAGACCTACAGAGATTCTACTCTTCCGTTAAACACCGATCCCCCACATGCTTATAACAATACGTTAAACAATAGGCAATTGAAGACCGTTAAACAATCGGACCCTCGTAGGAGCTCAAGCACCTCCGCCTGCACCATCTCAGGGAGTGATGCTATCTGCTCTGGGGACAGGTTCCCAAGAGCCACCATGATGCTCTCAGTATCAGCAGCAACATTCGAACCAGTAAGATTCGATATCTCCCTCTCCAGACGATCAAGCATCTCGTCGATAGGGGCAGATGATGTGCTAGAAGGCAGCTACACGCGAGAGAATAACGTCAACAAGACCTTCAATGCATGGTACACTACCACTGTTTGGAGGCCAGCTGCACTTGTAGTCTGTTGTGCATAGAGAGACATGGGCTGTACTGCCGACTCTGACGCCGCCACCACGCCTCGTGTCCGGATCTGCTGCAGCCCATCCTTCGCTGAACTCACCTAAGGAAGGATACAATAGTCAACAAGTCAAGAACCTTCACAATCCATACCTCATCTGCTGTGAGAGGCAATAAGCGCTCTCCCGTAGTAACTCCTAGAAGGTAGTGCGCATGAATAAGTGCCAGTGACAGATTGGGATCATCATTGAGAGGCCTTATCATGTGCCTGGCATCATCATCATGCCAGTCATACTCTACCTTTCTACTTCACTACATGATAGCAAGGATGATGTACTCGAGATGTAGCGTATAAAGGAGCTGAGTAGCAGTTAGATGATTGAGGAGGTCATCGGCCACGTCCACGGCGTTACGAGGCTCCCCTCAGCAGGTCCCACTCACGGCTGCATCTCGTCCTCGTGACCAATACCAGACATTGACTCAAGCGGAAAACTGAACTGAATGGATGTATAACTATACCTATAATGGGACAACTCATGCTCAACAACACACCGCTTTTACACTGAGAACCATTAACTACAAAATGACCGTTTACACCAGAGTCGGCTCCTTAATCTTAGCATTAAAAACGATGCTATTGGTAGGTCTATGCCTAACTATGAACAAGAAAGGCCTATCGCAGACCATATGGAAAGGAGGATCAATAGGCATCGCCGTAAGCATCATCATAGCCGATGCTGCTGCAGCTTCAGTGCCTTCCTCATCGACTGTCATTACAGCCTTATGAAACACGGAACCCACTTTAAGGCCAGGGCCCATCTTACTATAGTCACCATCTAACACCAACCCCATACGCTCGAAGACCTTCGTCATATCTCGTACACCATACTCCACCTTGAACTTGGGGAACGAAACGCTGCCCTCTTTGTTGTGTTGCATACCTTCACACCAAACGTCAAAGTCACGCGCCACAAAATTATCCACAGATACTCCTTCAGCTGGCAACGCTATAACAGCATCATAGTCGTCATGGGCATAAGGAACCACTGCCGCCTGCACCTTGTCGTCAGCGTAGTAATCGAAACCCTTCTGCCTCGTATCTCCATATGGGCTTGCAGCAACCATCATGTCAACCTTCATAGACGTTTTACCTCCTTGCTGAGTATGAAAGTCGGCTTCTCTAGTGAATGACTTCATGAACGACGTCTTCCATTGATCTTTGAAATGTACAGCGTTGACCAGAGTCGCACCATCAGGCGGATCAGCTGAGAGGAGATTCTTGATCATACCATTGGTCTTTCTCTCGACCCAGGCATTGATAATGTCCTTGTGGGGTGCCTCAGGGAAGACCTCGGCATTCAAATTGGCCTTGACATCATCTGTGAAGGACTCAGTAAGGTGGCTCGACCAGACCGCATTAGCACAGGATAGAACATCACGATCAGCATTAGATCTACTAAAGTCGCGGCTAATATCACACAGCTTCTCCAAGTCATCGACATGAGTGACGTTGAGTAGGCCATCGAGTGTCTTGCCCTCTTGGGCACCATAAGCAGCAATCGCCATCGTCTGGAAGAGGGATAGAGGACTCACCACAGTGTTGCTGCCACGGTCGGCTGGACATTCCTGCTGAAGCTCGTCCAGCAAGGCGAAAGCGAAGAGGTTAATAGGATTCATAGGGTCAGTATTCATTAGAATATTAACAACAACTGACATGCTATCTAACAGCAGAAACGCCGACACAAAAACTGTCCCTTGTGATCGCTAGTGATGATGACCAGCCACTAACTGCGGCCCCCACCAGGCCGCAGTCCAACACACTATAACATAACTGAGCACATTATGGAGGAGTCATTCGGATTGTTGGATATACTATTCTTCTCAGGAGCATGTCAATCAACACCCAAGCAATCGGCTCTACAAACTTCGTATTACTCCCTCCCACAGCTAAAGATACTATGGTGGATCATCACTTCACGACATCGATCACTTGCAGGGCGACCTCATCCATATCCAACTCTTGCGAACTTTTGAAGGGTCGATGCATGCCTACTAATGATCACACTGATCTTTGCTCCAGCCAAGAATGAGTCATCAACCTTCGTTTGGTCGCTTATAACACGTGCTGCCTCCATAACACACCGAACAACATCGGCTGTATCAGTGTGGACAGCCGCTGTCCAAGGCCTGTACCCATAATAGCCGCTCCGTTACCACGAATGAGCCACGGGCCTCGTACGTAAGTCGAGCTTATTCCCTCAGCTCTTTGAGATGAGAATTTCCTCAGCTAGCAGTACAGCCTGCTAGTCTGGCCTCTCCTCCATGCTCCTCGCCCTCTAGGGGTACCAACGCCATCATTATCGACCTTTGCTACAGTCAGTCTCTGTAGGGCATCAGAATATCAGTCCGCCATACCCAAGAGCGCAATACCAGCCCTTCCATCTTCGAAATATCAAGAAATCTATCAGTCACCGATAAGGCCTCCTACCACATCCATCTTCAGCTGCGAGTCGTAATCATGGATATCTGCTGGTAACCCCCCTTGATTACATGTTGCTCACTAGACTAGCCCCTGTCGTCCAAGGGACGGGCCCCGGTTCGACCTTGAAGCCAAGGCCTTGAGAATATGCACCGAACCTCCAGCATCACTCTTCACTTGTCTCTCCAGTACAAGTTCAAGGAACTCTATCGTAGCCTGGACATCCTCAGGTCTACAGACACTCACCTCGATCCACGCGAGTGACTGGCGCTCAGTACTCCTTCACAAAAGCATGCAGCACTGCCATCTGCTACTGGGAAGCAAGGACATGTTTAGCCATCGGGACATGACGATCCTACT